GACATATGGTAATACAGCAGACACACGCTCGACTGTGGCCGGCTTCACTTATTCACTGTGACGTAGGCGCGGGACCCGAAGCTTGTCGTCTTGCAACACTTGCTTGACATGCTTGAAGCTCGGTGGCCAGTTGTTTTCTGTCACAGATCCCTCGTGCTCTCTGAAACAAAGATTTACCCACGGTAGCTAACTGTGAAGGATGATGGTGAGATTCACCATTTAAATATCTGTTGGTATGTGTCTTTTTCTATACACAGTGTGACCAATAGTGTTATCAGGATTTCGAATGACTAAAACATCTAGGAAAGCTAAGGAATTATTTGCCTCTAACTCCATTGTGAATTGTATTTTAGAGTTTATAGAGTTAAAGTGGTCTAAAAATGCAGTTACTTTGTCAGATGGTAAAATTGTGAAAGTATCGTCTACGTATCGCTTATAGAATCATGGATTTACAGGAACAGTAAGAATGGCTTTCTCCTCAAAGCCCTCCATGAATATGTCGGCGACTATGGGAGACACAATTAAGTTAGTTAAGTCCGCCTTTGTACTTTTTTTCTAAGGAATTTTCAATTGTTAATATACTATACACAAACCATCCTAACCTTCTCCAAGTTATAACCATTCCTTTACTTTGATATATCCTATTCATGTGTTAACATTTTCAAACTGTTTCACGGATAGACACAAAACCTTTAGAAACAATTTAAATTTAAACTGCCTCCATTTCAAATTCTTTGGCTTGCTTTGTAGCCTTAACGGCTTGATGGATTTCAACATATTATGGGGTATCAAAGGGTTGACGTCAGATTGGTTTAAGTTGTGGAAGTGACTAAGGTATAACATTTTTCTCTTCTTAGTAAGCCTTTTAAACATTGGGCTTGTACTGTTAGAGACATATTTTTTCTACCCTTTCCAACTCTCTTTCAAACAATATAAAATAATATAATTTAAAGATTATAAATAGTTTTTATCGAAAGTTATAAATTTATCTCTGTACATCGCAAAAACATCCGAGTGGGTTTTAGTATACTGCGGTATGATTTCGTTCCTGATTTTAGTCTTAATCAATGCACAATAATGCTCTGATTTTCGCCCTAGAACAACTGCTTAAAACAAATTTTTAACATTAGAATTTAAAAATTTACACTTACATGAAAAACTTTAAGTTTCTAGTCATGTTTCTACCTCAATCCTCATGCTGCAGGATAACAAAGCAACCCCGAAACCTTTATCCTGGGAAGAACAAGCAAAGAAATCAGCGGAACATTTTCAACAAGTCAAATTAAGCTTATCGTTTTCAAAATGTTTTGACATGTCATATCATGAAATTAGAGTGACAAATTGTCTGAAGTCAATTATACCTCGCATGAATTTAAACTTTTTTTCTAGAAAAACTACTACCACTTAACGTCAAATTATTAGGCTTCTATCAGCTTGAAAGATAAACAAGTTGTAATGCTAGTAAGCCTATCTTCATGAATAAGGCAAAGTATTATTTTATATGAATTTTATATTATTGTCATGAAGATATGCTTGCTATCACTATAATTTCGTTGTCATATAGCAGCTTAAATTCAAAACTATCAAAAATAAAAATAAACCATAGTGTTTTTATTGTGTCAAGTGATCTTTAAATGTACCATCATATACCTAAATTGAAGACACCCATTGATTTCGAACTTACGAGTAAAAGACCAAAAAATTACGAAAAATTTGTTTTCAATTTTGATCTTTCGGCACGAAGTTCAAGTCAAAACCGCCATATTTTCAGTTATTTGCGGAATGCCAGCATGAAAGCAAGTTTTCTTGGAACCAAACTACCACAAAAAGTACGTATAATTTTGATTAATATTTTTCGTCAAAAGTACCATATTATGGAATGGGGTTGTTTGAATTTTAAATTCACAGTTAGACATTTTATGTTAAAATAAAAGAGCTACCTTTTGTAAAACACTTGTTTAGCTTAAAATATTGATACAAATATTTCACTAACTTATAAAAAAAGTATCTATAATTAGAATACATTTCATTTGCTTACTTTAAAATTTTAAAACTAAACGTCATTGTTTTGGTTTGTTGTTTTGATACATAATAGTGTTAAAAATGAAATAAGTATTATACTAACAAATGGTACTTACTCAGTGACCACGTTGTTGTATAGTTGCATGTCAATGTTGTCTTTATAAATTGTATTGCATATTTTTTTCTTTCTTTCTAAGCCGTCTTAGACTCACATCAACAACGGAGTGAGGGCCCTATTCGAGGGCATTTTTCCCCCATTAGTCCTCAGTTTATAAGGTAAAAAGCTTATAAAGTGGTTTATAAGGTAGCACGAGAATATATCGCATTATAGATTTTTTAAATGTATTACTCTAAAGCCTCTTTTATGTAACCTGAAGTACCCGTTATCTTTTTACCTGAAGGTTAAAAACTGAAAAGAAAGGTAATATGTTCGTTAATTGGCATGAATTTATGATTTTTAATATGTTTGTACCGAATTCAATTATTTTTTATTTATTAATAAGAGTGTATACTTAAAAGTGTAAATGCTTAGTGAGTGATTACTTTGTGATATTTTTCTGAATGAACAACCGATAGCAAAGAATCCTAATTATATTAGAGCTTGGGAGTCCCGTCAAACACCTTAAAAAGAAGTAAGTACATATTATATTTAATTCAAATTTTATTTAGTTTATCTTTAAGTGGTTATTATAAGAAAGCTACTTTAGCTTGGATTCCGACAGGCTATGTCCATTACGATAAATGTTATCTGGGGGAGTAAAGTCATGGTTAGTATTATTAATTATTATTGAGGTATCTATATAATTTTCTCACCTGGTTGGGTGCTATAAATATATAATTATAAATTAAAATGAAAAGATAAATATACATAAATATCAATAAAATAAAATAAATACAAAAACTACATAAATAAATAAGATCCAACCAGATGGGAGCCCTCGGCAGGGGAGACCAAACGGCCGAGGGTTGGGGGGAAAGGGAAAGAAACCGGCGGACGATGCGGGCGGTATTGAGGAGCACCGCCTTCTGCATTTGAGCCTGGAGCGGTCCGTCACGGAGTCCCAGTCGTCTCAGATGACCCGAGAGGCTGACTGGGATTAGCCCATTCGCAGAGACGACTACAGGAATAATTTCGGCAAATATTTTGTTCGTTTATCTGTTTCGGCTTTCACGAAGTTCTCATCATACGGAATGGTAATTTCGACCAAAAATATCCTTGACTGTGCCCGGTCCATCAGCACAATATCAGGCTTATTCGCAAGAATAGTCCTGTCTGTGGTGATGGCCCGGTCCCAGTAGAGCCTGGTCATTTCCGAGCACGGCTTCCGGCAAGTACTTGTAATACGGCAATTTTCGGTCCACGAGACCGTATTTCAGAGCGAGCTCCTGGTGTAGAATTCTGGCTACTAGGTTGTTCCTATGCAAGTACTCAGAGTTAGAAAGCGCTGAACAACCGGAGATGACATGCCTAAGTGACTCCCCGGGATGGCGACAAGCTCGACAGACGTCGACAGTGCCATCCTTTAGGATGTATCTCCGATAGTTGTTGGTCTTAATAACCTGATCCTGTATTGCACAGACAAAACCCTCGGTTTCCCTGAAGAGGTCACCGAAACGTAGACAGTTGAGTGAGGCGGCTGTATCTACGTGAGGCTCATGTGGAGCTCTGTAGTACCTCCCATGGAGCTCCTTCTCCTTCCATACGGTCTCCCGGTCGGAAATGCTCTGTACTGTCGGGTCTTGCCATTGCTCGTTGGCTAAGGATAGAGGGGTAAGTCCTTTATCACTAGAAATGACGTCATTATAGAATGGATCATCCGATCTCGCCAGAAAGTAATGACGGAGGCTGCACACTTTGCGATTATGCATGGTGAGCGCGCTCAGGAAGCCACGCCCACCATGCTTTCGCGGCAAGTACAGCCTCATTGCCGACGATCTTGGATGATGCATCCTATGGGACGTCATTGTAGTGCGGACTTTTCTATCCAGGGCGTTAAGTTCAGTCTCACTCCACCTGAGTATGCCAAAGGTATACATGAGGACAGGCATGACCCAATCGTTATATGCATGTGTCTTATTCACACCGGACAAAAGGCTGTTAAGCACTTTGGTCAAGCGTGTATAAAACACGTCGCAAACTGGCTGTTTCATACCAACCTCATCGATACCGATGTTCTGTGACATACCCAGGTATCGGTATATTTCGGCCTCAGAAAGGTCCTTAAGTTGACGGGCATAGATAAGTCTATGCCCTCAGAGTTAGCAACCCTTCCCCTTTCAACATGGAGGACCGCACACTTATCCGTCCCCAGCTCCATTTCTAATAGAATTGCTAAATTCACAAGTGATGTTTAGCAATTCCATAATATGGGAGCGACTGGAGGCAAATAACTTGAGGTCATCCATATAGAAAAGGTGGGTCACTTTTGTACCTCCTTTACGAAGCTCAAATCCCCTCCCGGTAGCCCTCCAGTAAAGTACTGAAAGGATTAAAAGAGAGGCAGAACCAGAATAGACTCAGACAGTTGCACTGGATTACCCCTTCTTATCCTTTTGCGGCTTTCCGCAGCCGTCATCCGCTCACATGGATGACAGAGGATCGTACTCCACTGCCCCATACACTGTTCGAGGAAGGTTTGAACTGTACAGTCAATCTTGTACAACTCGAGAACCCTCTTTAGCCATGTATGGGGCACCGTGTCAAATGCCTTTCTGTAATCTATCCAGGCGGCGGAGAAGTTCCGACGGTTGCGTTTCACCACTTTGCCAATGACCGCGACAATGAGGAGTGGTTTCTTGGTTGCCAGCGACCGCTCGCCCTGTATCCATTTTAGGCGCGCGACATCACCTTATTGTCCAGGTGACGAGCGATTCTCGCGCTCAAAATGGATGTTAGTGTCTTGTATATGGTCGGTCACGTGATGGGGTGGTATTTGCTCGGGTCTGTGGCACACTGATCTTTAGACAGTAGTGACCCGCTAAGCCCGGAATTTCCAGTTCGGGGCCCTACGGACCGCCTCAGCTACTACGGTGGGCACAATCCTTGGCCTGGTGTTGCCTGACCTGAAGCATATCAATCTGCCGATAAGGTCCCTAGCCTTTGCAATACGCTTTTCAATTATTATTCTCCAGGCTGGGATAGCACTACTTTGTCCAGTAGCGCGTCTAGCCGTGGAAAGTTTTGCGCCTATAATACGGCAGACTGCCAGTGCGGCGCCAAAAAGAATTGAGTCCGTTTCGCAAAGGTCCCGGCTGGCTTCCAAATAGGTAACCAGCATTGGGTTCAGAGCCCTCACGACAGCCCGATTCCGCTTGCTTAGGGCTAAGCGGGGAAGTCGCGTTCGATTTTCGAGAGTCTTACTGCGCGTTTCCACAATCGCCTCTTCCAATGTACTCCTCATTTGCTCTAGTTCCGGTTCCTGGGCGACTGTTTCATCTTCGTTTGAATCAACCACAACTTGCGTATTCACGGCGGCATCCATATTTGCCGTTTGCTCAGCAAGTTGTGGCGCCGCATCCTCAGCCGCAGCATTTTCACCGATGATGGAACAGCCTCAGGTCGTAGCCGTTCGAGTTCGGTGACATCACATGTATTTGAGTGCAAGATATACCGAACTCGGTCTGCCAGGTTTTGCTCGGTGACGGTTACAGATGGCTCCAGCTCAGCAAAAAGTCGATGCATCCTTGCCCGATACGCAAAACCTACAGTTTCTCACCCTTTCGCCCTAAAATACGCCCGCAATGCGTTGCTGTTCATCTGGGTTGTCAAATGCATGTGGCGTACTCCACCTGTAGCGGGTGCCGATTGCTGGGCCCGCGAAGACCCTGCCGACACCAAGCCAGCTGGTGTGGATGATGGATGCGAGGGGCTGCTGGGTGGTCGTGCAGCACCTCGCTCTCGGCTGGCGGTTCGCATACTGTCGCGTCCAGCGCCAGCTCCAGACGCGGCCTGGTGACCTCTAGGCAGCGGTCCTTTGCGCGTTCTATTTAATTCCATCATCCATTTTTGAGGGCGTCATTTATTAATTATTATTATTACAATACTCATTTACTTAACTTCTTTGTTACATACAGAGACCGCAATGAAAGTGGCAGTCCAGAAGTAATCTCAAGAGATCTAGACACAGTTGAATTCAAATTTATTTCTAATACAGTATTAATAATTTATTTCGGGCATATAGCTAGATTCATAATTGTTAGTAACAAAGTATCTTAAGGCTATTGTGTTAGTACATAATAAAAGTCTTTGAAAATGTATTAAAATGGAAAAAAACATATTAAATTAAATTGCATAAATCAAGGTCCAGCACCTTAGTTTCTCTCCGGCTATGCCGCGTGAAAATTTACTTAAAATATATTTCAAGGAAATAGTGCCGTGAATATGTCTACGAAGTCAGCCTGATCTCAGTTTCTCAAAACTCAACGAAATAGATTTAGTTTTTGCTTTAAGTAGGCAGCTGAAGAGAAGGCCAAATAAGTATTTCGAAAAAAGTGACACTACTAGCCAATTGGGATGATTTTTCATCAAACGAAAACAGATCAAAACTATTCAAATGATTAAGATGATAATATAAACGTGGATTTTGTCTTCAAAATATTTTTATATTTCGTTCCTTAATACGATTGCTTATCACCGAAATCCGGACTTTAGAGGGTAAAATATGCCCAGTTCTTAGCAATTGTTTATAACCCAATTGAATCTAACAACAGTCAACAGCAACAACGATCTACTTGTGATTCTCAGTCTGCAATAGTAATTGACCCGTCAAATGTTGACATAACTCGTACTGATCGTCGTATGTATTTAATTGCGAAGAAACGCCACCATCGGGCGTTTACATCGAAAACCGAGGTAGTAGTACAAAAAACGCGGAAAAGAAAAATGCACACGGAATTATGGAAAAAAATTTCTTAGTCATCACTATGTACCAGACCGGTAAATAATACTCATTTAGACGTCAAAAAATAATAGCATTCCGTACGATATAAATAACTGACGAATGACAATTTTTACGATTTAAGACCTTTAGTTACGGAAAATCACATGACAAGTGAAGTCGGAGAGAAAGTAAACTAGAAAGATATTAAAATTATGAAAGTCACCAAGAACCACTGACTTACTTCTTTTGTTTTATGAAGATGAAAACTTTAAAATGGTGCACACATTATAAAAAAAATTGGGACTGCAACAGAGCCAACTTTAAAAAAATTATATACTCAAAAAATGAAAGATTTGGAGTCAAAAAGCAGGATGTCGTAAAATTAATAGAAAGAAATGTTATGTATGCCGCTTAGTTAAGTCCAACTTCGACCGAGAGCTCAATCGACGGATTCAACTCGATTGGGCATCGTTCGGGAAATTACGTCACATCTTGTCGTCAAGTGTACGTCAAAACTTATAAAAGAGATTGTAAAACCAGTGCGTGTTGCCAGTGATGACTTGGTCGCTCAGCGAACTATGGATACGTCCTCGGGGTTTCTCTGCATGATAAACTTAGAAATGAGGATATCCACAGTAAATCCAGAGTGACCGACATAGCCCAACGAATCAGTTTGCTGAAGTGGCAATGAGCTGGCCATATAGCTCATAGAATCGACAACCGATGGAGAAAAAAAGTTCTTGAATGACAGTCTCGTAACGGTACTACTACCACTAGATGGAGTGACAACCTGGTAAAACATGCAGGAAGTCGATAGATGCGGGTGGCTCAGGAACATGCTTTGTGGAATTTTTCGGGTAGCATTTGTTCAGCTGTGAACTTTTGAAGCTCTAACACACTGAAATAATGATGATAACGATGAATGATGACTTTTTCTTTCAACTTTTTCTTCTTCAGCAGCTCGTTACCATTTCAGCGTTGGATATGGTCCTTTCCTATTACTTACTCTTATATTTCTTGTTTTTGAGTATTTTTGTGCCTATTGGTTAAATAATAAATTAAAGTTTAATATAAAGTTTCTTTCATAAATAACTAATAAAAACACTCACATGGCATATACAAACTTTCACACGTTTACACATTTAATACATCAATATTAACAATGATTATTTCGAAATCAAAAAAATCACAAAATTTTTGCTGAAGCAGTTCAACAAATGCGATAAAATTATTGACGTATCTACCAAATTACAAATAATTAATAATAATCAAATAATAATTATCTATAGGAGTCTGGGATATCTGAAAAATCATGTTATTGTTAATTTTATTTGTTTTGAATGTTACAATTTTGTTACTTATATACATATATACTTTACCATATTTACATTTTGTTATATTTTGCATGACCCTTACTGTTTATTTTAATTTGCAAATGTAAACAGCACGATGTGCGACGTATACTACACCTCAAGTTTATGCATTGCACGAGCCGGTCTAAAGTAGTTTCTCTTTGTGTGCACGACGAGTCGCCAGTGCCTATCATAGCGCGATAGTATGAAGCTTTGCCTATGGTTGATTTTTTTACCCATATATCCTGACTGCGTATGAAACCTGAGGTTCCGCGCGATTGTAGGTATTTACATCAAAAATTACAGAAGCCTGGTTTTTGGTATATGCCGTAGCTGGTCATAGTTTAAATTTACTTCTATGTTTTAACTGTTACATACCTTATGAATTTTTATCCACTTAACTAACATACGTATTAGTATATTTATACATTTCACAAATGTCTAGCAATAACATGATGAATATATAAAAATGTAATCGAATATCACTAAAATAATCAAACACCGAAATATTGCTATTCAACAAACAAAAACTCTGTTATTTGGAACAAAAACTAATTTCTGAATTCAGTATCACGGCGCCAGGAAGTCGTGACAGATAACATTTGCAAGTCACTTGATGGAAAGAGTAATGGACTATGATGTCTTTCAAGTCTGGAAAGCGTTTAACTTTCATATAGTCGTGTATAATTTCACATTCCTAATATACAGATTTTTTAGCTGTTTACAAGTGCTTGGGAGTAGAATTTTTTACAACGTTCAATTGAACGAAGCTAATCATTTGAATAGAATAGAATAGGAGCATTTTTATTCAATATAGATTACATGTAAATCTTATTGAAAGCCATTTTTCTTACTGGTACTGAGATCCTTTCTTGTAGATGATAATAAAATTATAATAGATTTACTTAATGTGGACTTTACATAATAAGTTATTGCTTATGTGGCTCTGACGGAATACCAGCGCTGCGTTAACTCTTCTGCTATAATAAAATATTACACTTAAGGCTGTAGTGCTTTCGTTGCTTTTCTATATAAAAGAGAATGCGGCCCACCTGACGGTATGTGACTACCGCTGCCCATGAACAATCGCAGTATCAGGGGAATTAAAAGTGCATTGCCAACCTCTAAGGACGAAGTAAGCTTTTTTATTGAAGATCCCTAAGTGGTATCGGCCCAGAAAAATCCCTAATGGTAAACAATCCCACTAAGCGTCTGGACGAGGAAGAAAACTCCTAGTAAAATGCACTGTGGTGGACCATCCGACCATTGGTCCAAGTGACCATGAAACTGTATATTATTCGATATTTTGACGTTGACGTTTTAAGTTGACGTTGATTGCATTCCGATGCTAGCCTTTAGACAAAGTGGTTCTTTCGACACAAGTTTGTTTTGGTACTCGGCGAAGTTTTCTCAAGAAATATTGGTACGGTCAATGTGTAAAGCATGACCAGTGCTGTCGTCTGCATAGCAATGTTAATAGGCTTGTTATTAGAATATGCACCATCTACTGTCACCTTGATGCTCCAGCCAGCAAGGAAACTGGAGATCCAATTGCACAATTTCTCAGGAAGCCCATGGGAAGGTTGCTTCAAAAGAATCGCTTTGTGCCAAATCCGATCGAAGGCCTTCGGCTCTTTTGCCTCGACCCATCTATGAGTCAGGTAAACCAGAAGATCACCAGCAACTCGATGAAAACCGTATTGGTGGTCATTTATATCCTGGTGATCCTCAAGGTACCTCATATGTTGGCAGTTGATATTGGATTTCATTATTTTGGAGATCAAGGAAGTGATGCGATAGGCCTATAGTTGGACTGTTCTGAGCCAGAAAAAAGGCTTTTAGGGAATATGTGGACGAAAGCTGTCTTTTGTGAATTTGGAACTACGCCTTGGGAGTAAAAGTATCGGAAAAGACGCGTTAAAACCGGTACCAACTCCGGAGCATACGTCTTTAGCATAATGGGGGACTCCATCAAGCGCATTCGACTTGTTAACGTCCAGGGCTAAGAGTGCTTTCCAAACCGAGTGCTATGTAAACTGCACATCCGAAATAGAGCAGTCAACCATGGGATCATCGGTGGTGTGTTCCCCCGCCATTGAGAGTTGTGTTGGATGCAAAAACGGAGCCTTACAGATCGGATATCCCATAGACAGCCTTGGCAAGAGGTCAGAAGGCACGGGCCCTTGCTTTGGCAATGATTCTTTTGAAGTAACTGGAGATGGAATTATACTTATTTTTAAGAGCGCTGGT